CTAAGTTCGTGAAAGAAGCTTTGTGGTTAGGCATCAGTCTCAGACGAGTTTGGAGTTTTTGTGACGAAGTTATGACATGACATTGTAGATGCAGAAGAACACCAGTTCACCTGCACATCGTCACCGAGCATACCTGGGTGCACCCGATATCACTTTCCAAGTCTGAAGTTCAATTACCTGTAAAATCAAGCAAGCATATGATTTACACAGAGTTAACCTGAATGTGTCAGGCATCAACCTGTTTGATGTATTCAAATTTGACTATCTTCACGTAATCATCTGATTTGATGTATGCAGAAGGCCCTGGGTTGTGATCCTGCTTTGCGTCTACCTCCTGCGATCTTCTGGTTCTAAAACGATATAGGCTTGAAACCACGGCAGGTGAAGAGCCAGTTTTAATGCCGACTTTTTCCTTTGGCAAGGTCAGTGCACAGCGAGGCAGACGATGCTCCTTGTATTTACGGTGTCAAAACTTGCAAATACATCAACTTTTGAGACTTCTTATGCTGTATCTGGAAACGTAGTTGCCACTCCTGTAGTGTATACTTGACAACATCTAGCGCAATGTAACCGGAGTTCTCAAGTGAGGTGGTCACTTGACTCTGCAAGCAGAATTTGTGGTGTTTCCCACCATATTCGCCTATTCGACAGAGGCTTTCTTTTTTGCTAAATCCTCACCTTTCCGTGCCCTGAATAAACTTTTCAATTCACAGAAGAGCAAAATGTTAGACTTGCAGCTCAAAAAACGCTAACACAACATAAAATTGTACTCTTCAAGTTTTTTTTCTTCGTTACGACTTTTTTCCTATTTCTTTTCATTTATTCATCGATTGAAGAAACGAAAAGACCGTTCCTTGCTGCATAGATCCGTTGCGATCGCGCCATCCCACGACCACGAAAACCATGCCACTTCGGGCACCACGAGCTAAACTTGGACAAGGCACGAACGTGTCTCAACTGGCTACTCTATGCGCACACATCTCACATGTGACACTACAAATGTGCGCTAATACTTGCAGGGGAAAAAATTGCAGTTTCAACTACCTAGCCGAGGGTTTATTCAAAAAAACACTCTCTAAATCTCTCACCACTTACTGAATTTCATTCAACAATGCCAATCTTGGCTCGAAGTTACTGAAATTTGACACAATCTAGCGGTTTTGTCAAAATCTTCCCAAGCTAGACATAGCTACCAATAAACTCAACCTCAATCTGCACTCTTCAAAGCACTCTTGAATTAAAAATGTCTTATAACAATATGCTGGTTGCGGTCGTGGAAAACATAATTTTTACTGAGAAAGATTACGGACTTGTTGTACACTTATACAAAGACAGGGAGGGCATTGAACTCAATGCCCTCCCTGTCTTTGTTTTGCAATTCATCAAAAAACCAAGCTAATTACACATCTTGGCCACCATCGTCACCGCCATGTACTCTGCCACGCATGAGAAAAATGTGACAAGCTTCTGAATCTCCAACTTCCAGCTAACAATGATCTTGCCGAGTAAGAAGAGCATGTTTGTGATGCTATTGCAGGTGTCAACGTCATTCACCATGTCGCTATTGCTATATCCAACCAACGCTGTAGAGACATTCTTTCTCGCACATAAGCACACATGGTGCCGTGCTCCAACGATGTAACAAATAATGTGCTTCACGACGTCTAGGTGCTGGGTAATGAGAACCTCCATGAAACGACTCCCATACACCGCCGAATCACAATGTCGTAAGTGCTCAAGATATTGGAGTTGTCGGAAGTTATGTTGTTGCGTCCGTCGTGGACGTGGTACTCACCTTGCTGAGTTTGAACCACGGTTTCATGGACACGAAGTAGGGGTTGCATCACTCTAGCCAGCACAAGCGACTTGGTTCAAGAAAATGTCATCAGAATCCTACTTCACATGAACGACGAGATAAAAGCTGAGCAATCCTAAATCGTTCATTTGGATAGTTTTTTCATCTTCTCCTTGAAATGTGCAAGCTCCAACTCATCGTTGCCGGTGATGGTCTTATCTTTGTTCACGCACATACTGACAAGAAGACGCGTCGTTACGTCGTCGCGTGCGTACACAAGCGTGCTCTGACACGTTCCGGCTAAACTCGAGCGACATCAAACAACTCTACTGTAAAACCATATGTTGTATATGTGAAATAAAAATAGAAGTAGCCAAGGAATTAATCATGATTAGCTTATTTATAATTAAGTCTAGATAGTTATAACTATGTTTAACTATAATGTCTATACTTGGCGGAATAATTAGAGAAGTTCTAGAAGATTTGAGTGAGCACTACTATTTAGTCTTATAAAAAAATCTAGATTCCAAGAAAAAAACTTTTAACTTTATGTTTAGTTTTGATTGATTTGACTAAATAAAGATATTTCATTGGTTAGACTAAGTCTAATGTTAACTTAGTGACAAGTGGAGATTCTAGAAGTTAAAAAGTCACAAAGAGCATGTCGCCACCTTAATCTAGGGATTAAATAACCTCTAGAAAGTTTAGTAGACCATTGACATGTTACCACGTGTTGATAAATAGTCAAACTTAATATAGATTATCTTGATATGAGTAAATTAGATATGAATTATCATTTGTTACGATGGTAAATTTTCAAATAATATATATAGAAAGGTAATGAAGAGACTCTCGAACAAGTTTGGAGAGTTCATGTGTAGAAACTTGTTTCATATATGAAAGATTCACAATTATCAGTATGTTGGAGTGTCGATATGTGTGTGAACTTGAATGATACCTTGAGAGATTGTGTGAGAGTATGTTTGGGCTATGAGTATGAGGATGAATTATAGTTTTCTAGAACCATGATAAGCTATCGCAAAGCCATCTTAGGTAAACCTAAGTGAGAGTCAGCCTGGAGGTTGTAGTGCGAGCTTGCGCCGGAGTCAACAAACCATGATTCTTCATCGACGATGAAAACCGACATCCATGCGTTGAGTGTCGTTTGATCTTCCCCACTTGCCTCCTCCATGTCAGATTTCTCATCTGGTAGAGTGTTGACAGTTGAGTAGGAGTTAGCCTGAATGGTCTTCAACTTTGCCGGTTGAATCTGTAAGTCTTTGATTTGCTTTCTGTCTTGTTAATCTCGCAATTAGTCTCGGAGTGATTGTGCTGACCACAACGTTTGCAGGATCAATGAGTTTGATAGTTGCGTCCTTGACCTCTGCTTGAGCGGCCAAATCGCCCTTCTCTATTGTGAAACCAATCTCACTTGTGCATGGAGAGTATTTCTTCGGATTCATGATGTTTGTCAAAAATCTTACAACTTTCTTCGTGTAACATTACTCCTTGCAATTTTGAAAAGGTGAGTCTTCACTCCTTGCTTTTTTGAATCGCCTTAAACGTAGTCCAATTCTTGGAAAAAACTTGCTAGCATTGGATCTACCAAGTCTTTATTTTGTACTATAACACATAAGTTGGCAAGTTGAGTGATTATAGCGTTCGTCTCTTGAAGGTGAAAATCTAAAGTTTTGCCTTCAATCATTCTGAGTGAGTACAACTTTTCTTTCAATGCAAGACATTTAGATGGATTTTGAACATCATACATCTTTCTAAGCTTCTACTAAATTTCTAAAGTATCTGTAACATGAAGAATGTGAAGTATAATGTGGTCTTTTACCGTGGCCACAATTATCCTATAGGCGCAGATCTTGAGCTCCGCATCGTTGTTTGGTGTGGATGCTACTAATGTTGTCGATGCGGCGTTGGAAGTCCTTGAGACTACGTTTGAACTGCATCCTGAAGTCGGATTTGTGGCAGGTACAAAGAAGCGTCACAAATTCTCTTGCATGAGAATCATCTTGACCCTATAACTCCACAATAAATAGTTTGCTTGTCTTTCTAGCTTTGTGGAGTCAGACAGGTCACGAAGTGTTGGATTCATTTTCGCAATGGTTGATATGAAGAAAAATATTCTAATCTGTATTTTACAAAAATCACTCTGATATCATGTTGTCACAAAAGAACAAATGATTGAATTGTATTCAATGAAGGTAAGTACAAAGAGCCACTCCATATGTCCTCTACAACATATGTCTTAGTTTAAGATTACAAAAAGTTTGAACTCCTAATTAGGTTTACGTGCAGGTTAACAAAGCTTCACACACGACAAATCTGTGTCGCGATGCGAGAGGATGTTTACCTTATCCTAATTAGTGGTTCAATCTTGTAATCCTAAACTAAAGGGGTGCTGAAGAGTACATATATAATGGACCTTTATACTCACCTTCATTGGATATAATTTAATTGTGTGTTCTTCTATTACAACAACGGATAGCCTAAACGTGACATGTAACAAATGACATTGAGACAAAAACACAAGAACCTTATTCAACTCACCTCACATGTCACAACAAAGATTGGGAGTTGAAAACAATTTTCAAAATAACTCAACTATAATATTCTATCCAAGATGATGAGGACTACGAAGTTAATTGTTTCATCTATCAAAGCAACTTTGCAGTGGCATCAGTGAGCTACGTTGAAGTTAGTCAGGTGCAGCACACAACATGAAATCATTCAACGCATATGTGACATGCTGCAATATTATCACACATGACTCCAAGTGTGCAAAATAGCATGCACGCCTCACCTTATCTTTTTCGATAGGCAAGTCATCGCGGAGATGCCATCGTCTTGCAACAGGCGCGCTTTATAGTTTCATTCCTTAAAAGAAGAGCAGATATTGCAAAGAAATACTCAAGCCGCCCTCAAAAGTACTTGCTTTTTGCACTCTTGCGTCTCTTTATAGTTTCATTCCTCAAGAGAAGAGCAGATATTGCAAAGAAATACTCAAGCCGCGCTCGAAAGGACTTGCTTTTTGCACTATTGATTATCTCGATAGTCTTGGTAATGCGCTTTAGATTGAAACCAATCTCGTCAACCTAGAACTTTCAGTGCCTCCTCGTAAGGAGCAACGCATTTCAGCTCCGGCATCACCTCCGCTGGTGTCACAAGTGGCTCCTTGAAAGAAAGCCGAGCTTCTTCATAAATCCCACGTTTCAGGAAGCTGATACTTGGTAGTGTTCAAGTTCTCAAGGATCTGTTTCAGAGACACATGCTGACATATTCGTTTCAATGCTAAATGCGGTCCAATACTTTTGATGCTATCACAATACTCACAACCGCAGAGAATGCACATGTCGATAAATTTATCCATTGTCAAATCTAGCCCTTCCATAATCTTGGCAACAGAAAACTCCATCCCTAGCAAATTGCAGGCAACTGGTTTCATCAAATGCTTTCGAAATACAGGGAACCATATGCTAGTGAATCCATATCCTCCGACACCACTGCAGAGACTTTTTCTGCCTTGCAGAGGGCACCACACTCTACCTCAACTACCGGAACACCCATCAGTCGTAGAAGCTTGCGACAATCCGCGTTGCGCCGCTTCGTCGCCTTCCCATTCCTCTTGCTGTACTTTCCATTTCATTTTGTTTCCCTGCCTCGACAGCTTCGACGAGACCCTGGGTTGCTAAACTTTCCTTGAAGATGACTCGTAACGTCTCGAGCTTCGAAAGTCCGCATGTTACTCACCGTTCGTCCAACAACGATCAGGAACTAGAAAATGCTCATACTGGGGTCCATTGCAATCTTCCGATCGAAATGAACTTTAAATTTCGTCTCTTCCATGCACAACGGTGCATTATCGGGAAAAAGCTTCATTAACCCCTCATTCCCATGGCTATGACCATGCTAAAGAACTTAGAGTTGCCCATCATATGTAATCTTGTATGAAGTAAAACTCATCAACAATGTCATCCAACACTAAGGCTACCACCACACTTAATTTTGTCTGATACCATTGGTGTCCCGTAGATATAGTCAATGGTATAACCAAGGTTACCAATGTTATTGAAACATTTCCAATTATTCATCAAACCCTAAGATGCCAAATCAGTATCTTTCAGGTACAGTAGAGTGCAATCTTGATATTGCACTCTAATGCAAGTATATGCTTAGTTAGTGGAAAATATTTTTCTTCAATGAATTCAAGAGAACCCCACTATGGTATTAACGTTCCTTCACCATGCAAAAACTGAACTGAATTCCAGGACAGCAACAACATTTAGTTAAGATATCAAAAATCATATGCACATCATCCTGTTATCATCATATCCAGTGTATTAGTTGCCGGTTAGGAATTAATTTAGATATTGTCTACCTCTAGTTAATTGAGTTGATTATTCGTTCACCATATAAGCGAGCTGAAAAAATTTCTCAACGACACAAATTAAAGCTTTCTGGGTAAAGATTGTTGAACGACCTAGTACATCTGTCGACTCCCTCTCTGTTGCATGTTGTGTTTGTAAGCTGCATGGAATTAGAGATCGGAGTTATATGAGACATGACTAGAAGTATTATCTCACTTAGAACAAAAATGATAAATCTAACAAGTAAACTCATCAGTATTCACTATCGGCAACGCATAGGCTTAGAAACACTTCATATCAAATAGCAGGTGGTAGAGCAAGATGCGTCAAGATGTAATAATGGATCACTAGATACATAAATTTGACTTCACTGAAAAACGTACGTAAAAAGTCAAACCAACACAATTGAATCTCACATAATTTTTATATGATATTCAAAACATGAAAATCTAGTTTCAAATTTTCTTTTGTGTCAACTTGATGATCTAGGCTTTTCCAATTGGATATCAAATGCAACTGTATTTAACACCTAAACTATTTGAAACTTTAAATCTCATGCACAAAATCTTTGACTTGATTCTAAACTTTTAGATGTCACAATTTGCAATTTTTTACTTTCTAAAATAAACTAAATGTTATCGTTTTGTGTTGATGTTAATGTTTTGATCACTTTATAAGAAAAAATTCTATTAATTATATGAATCTTTTTATTACATCAATATCACATTTTTTTGTGTCAATCATAAAAAGTACAATGAATACAAAATTTGTCAAAGTACTTTTAGCACTTTAAAAACTTACAAATTTCACTGTAAAATTCACTTTGAGGTTTTGCATTTTTAATGCTTTACTCATGGAATTTTGTAAATGTTTGATGCTCGTCATCATAGGATAAAATAACAAATAAATTTTGAGTCAAATTCACTTTACATTTCAATGACTTCATATATTTTCATTACCTACTCTATGTTATAGAATCATAATATAATGCTCAGCTTTCAAGTCTGAAACTTATGAATCCTAAATTGAAATCTACCCGATGACTATTGGGTTTCTTAGGAATGCTTTTGATTTTACAACAACAATTTGAATTATAACTGCTGTAGGCGTTTTAGCACATCACTATTCGCTTATTACTTCCTAAGTAATGAAATAAAATTGAGAGGATGGAGTTGAGCTTCATATAGAAGTTTTCATGAATTTGTCGATTAAACTCATCCTAAAGTTGCATCATCTCCAATAAGTTGGATTACTTGATATGGAAGACTTTGACCATAAGACATGCTTATAATTCATTTAGATGCAAGATGCACATGTTTCCTCTATGTTGAACATTTATTATATACACATGGAGAAGAACTCACATAAGTCTTCAAATCTGATCGATGTACTTAAAGGTCTGCTCAATATATAGAAAGTTAAATGGGAAATATCACTCTAGATTTCTTAGATCTGTAATACGGAAATCATTTCATAACGAAATCTTTACTTGCACTAGTTTGATAATTCATAACGAGCCTCCAGTTGATCTGAGCTACTTTATTTATCTCTATGTTGTGCCATCTCCGTCAACTTGTAGGTCTCAGTTTCATGTACCTTTGGACTCTCCCGAATTTTGTTGTTTAGTTCCTCAACATGTCCTTGTCACTTTTCGAGTTCAACCCCCATGTGAACAAATAGTTTTTGTCCGATCAATATCGTAGGTAGAATCCGGCGCAGTCTGACCCTTGGAGACAAATTCAACGACCAACAGATACACTAAACAGAGCCTCATTGCACCAGAAACCTCCAACGTCACGCGCTCTTGTCGCGTGACGTCGTAATGGACACACACGACAAGAGCGCCACTGTCACACTTTGCAGTGACCGAAAATAGTCGCGATCCTCCAGTGTCCTAGCAGAGGAACGGTAAACCGGGGTTGCCCTTAATATCACTCTCAAAGAACATCATTAAGGTCGGAATGAGCCGAAGGTTAGATGGGGTTGGCCCCTCTAGTTTAGTGGCACCACGAACTTAGAGGAGGTTGCCGTGGGCGGAAGGCGGGCACAACTTGGCAGGACGATGAAGAAAGCAAAAGATTAGAAGTGGACTAGCGCTGGGTGAGACGCGGAATTAGGTCGGGATTAGGCGGGGAGCTAATTAATTAAGGAGGGGAGGTGAGACAAGATAAGCTGAGCCGACCCGAGCGTGTGTCTGTCTCTCCCTATCTCATGCGGAGGAGAGGAGAGATGGATGTGGAAGTGAGGAGCTGCTGGTGGCTGGCTCTTGGTCATCGAAGGGATCCGTCCAGTGGGTGGTCAGATCCGTCCTCTGGGACGGGATTCGTTCAAATTGTCCGACTGGCTGCCTGCCGCGCAGAGATTTCGAAGAACCGACGAGCGGCAGGAGCGTCTGTGAGCAGCGGCAGCGGCAGCGAGCGTCGCCCCTGCCGATTCAGCAGGAGGCGAGCGAGGCTTCATCTGCCAGAGAGCGACGTCGCTCTGGCCCGGCCTCAGCACCCCGAACACTATCGCCCCCTTCGTCTTCTTGCTCTCTCGAATTCCGATGAATTGGGCGGTGCTCGTGCAGGCGGGGATTGCCTCCGAGGGACGGGTGGTGGCCCAGAGACGAAGTGCTTGCTGAGAGGACGAGGAGACAGAGACGCAGAGAGATTGGGGCAGATTTCGGTTGATTTATAGCAGCGGCGGCAGATTTCGGAGCGAAGGCTCGTTTGAGGATTGCGAGAGATGGCTCCGGCTGTTGCTAAGGGTGGGCAGCAGGTGAGGATGACGATGCCGAAAACGAAGACGGAGTTGAAGGCCAGGTACGATACCGGAGGCCAGGTGGCCGGGCTCACCCTCGCAGTGGCAGCCGGGGATCTGAAATTGAAAGGAAGCGTGACGGATTCCACGTTCATCAATGGGCCTTCGCTTGAGGGCATGTCGATTGGTGTTGAGAAGCCCGGCCATTTTCTTTTCGATTACGATTTGGCGCATCAGGTGGGCTGGTGCTTTTTCTTCCCTGTCCTCCCACTCCTCCTCCCCCTGGCAATGCAGGTGGTGGATGTTCATGTGCGGCGTGTAAGGATGGAGGTTCTGGAACGCATTGCATTTGTGAGATGTCTTGAGGGTATAAAAATTGATGCGAATTGTGGATTTTCCGCCTGCATTGTACCTCCAGCCTTGTCGGTTAACTCACATTGTAATGGAATATTGATTTATTCCTTACTTCGGTCGGCCTTCATGATGAATTGTCCTATAAACCAATGTCGCTTATATTGGGGTGTTTGGAATTCTGCAATCTCAGCCAGAGTCCTGTGTCGACCTGGTACTTGGCTGACCCCCTTGCAAGTGAGCAATGTGGATGAGAATAGCTCCCTCGGAGCATTTGGAATCATTGTTTTGAGTTTGCAACGAACGGTTCTTTTAGACGTTCCAAGAACAGTGCCCGATCCACTTCTGGGATTTTCCGATGCTCAGATCTGTGGCCGGCCTCTGAATCCTTTCGTATCTGACCCTAAAAAGGTGCGGCTAAATTTGCCTGCAATGTCGTCTACTCCATCTGCTCGGAGTGGAATTGAGAACTTGCCTCATTTTTTTGCAAATCTGCTTTCAAGATATGGATGAGGATAAACATAGTTCAGTGAACTTCCAACCCTACGGACAGATGGATTTGATGATGCTTGGCATCATAAGAGCCACGTGAGATCTGAATTTGGTCGAGTCTGAGATTTATGAAGAATTTATCAGGGAACACAAATTTCACTTTGCCATTTCTGATCAAGTCAGCCCAGTTCCAACGTACTTAAAACTAGGCATAGGAACCTTCAAAAAAATTTCGATCATTACTTTTCTCCCGGTCAGTGGAAGTTTCCAAAAGAATTGTGTCTGGAGTTTAGGGGCTTGGATTGAAAGCGTCTCAATAGCGTGCAGCTTATTGTGATCTTATTAAGATGCCCAGGACTTCAAAGTTACCTTCAAAACCCTAACAACTTTTTGATTAATGTGAAGTGAAACTCGTAGAATTCATGGAAGCATCGATCGTCAGTCTAACAGGAAAAGAGCGCAAGTGGTTCATACAGACCTTTGGATTTGGCTACATGAATTTCCTGTCCTGTCAGATCTACACCGGTCGTAGAAGGATTAGACTGTCGTATGGCTTGGTGCCTTTCCGCACCAAGCCCCTTATATATCATGGACTGTTTCTCTTTGGCAGGAAACTTCTGGAAGTGGCCTTACTCTTACCTTAGGACATTCACGTTAGAGTGTTTTTTTTCCAGCTAGTTTATCTTATATTTCTTGTGCCTCATCCAAGTCAGCATTCAAGTTTCTCTGCACAAAGATGCCTTTCGACCCAGTGTCTTCCAAGACCAGCATAGGCATGATAGTAAACTGTCTCGCTGACCTTATCGCTTTGGTGATGTTGTGACGTTACACTGCTGCGATGACCATGTTGTAGAGATGTTTGGTAGTTACTGTGAAGCTTTAGTTTCTGAGGGACACTGGCTGGGATGTTTGTTGTGCAGTCCGCAAGGTTTCAGTTCATGACCTCAGTGAACGTGCTTGGAAAGCCTCTCAAGCTCACCTACATTCATCCACAAAAAAGGAATGCCACTCTTGTTGAAGGATCACTTGTGTGGGATCCACGCAATAAATTAACGGCAAAGTACAGCTTCGCCACCGAAAAGGGGTCGTTGAAGTACACTTTTTTGAGTACTCCTCACGACGTGACTGTAGAACCTGGATTTGATTTCAACACCAATGCATGGAATTTTTCTCTCTCCAAGAAGTTGTTCACCGGAGACAATCTGAAGGCGTCATACGACAGCAGCAACACAGTGTTGGGATTAGAATGGATCAGGGATGATAAGTACTTTGGACCCTTTAAGGTAAGCAACCAAGTCTATCATAGATCAAGTATATTCCACATATTATATCTTCTGCTCTTATTTGTTCATTAGGACAATTCGCGAACTGAAGAATGGGCGAAACTTTAAGCAAGTGATTTCCCTTTGAGCTGCATAGCTAAGTTGAACTGTGCCATCTCTTTGCAGATCATCGGGTCGGTGGACGGCAAGGAAATGAAGGCACACAAGCTGATTTTAGAGAAGACCTGGAATCACGAAATCTAGCCATGTATTAGAAACAAACAAACAAGAATGTGTTTTGTCTAGCCTGCTCCTCGTTCTACATGGACCTGGAGAAGCTGGAACATAGCACTACATATCGTTGAGGGAAGTTACCTCCTTTTTTGGGGATTTGAGGGGAGAGGTAATTTATTGGAGTTGCAGCAGTAATGATCGGGTTATCGGCCAGCCAGGTCGAAACAAGAGCACATTCTTTGATAAAGTAGAACCGTGTCGTATGGTCCCATTTCAGTAATCCTCACAAGCGCTCAGACGAAATCTTGAGGTCTTTGACATAGTTTGATATAACTCGTCACATACAGCTGCTGTGTGTCAATTCTGTTCAGGTCATAATTTATCTCCAGATAAAAGCGGTGAGTGGGCTAAGCGACGAGTTCTCGCAACTTACTAGTCCGGCTCGTGTGGTATATTTAAACTTCTAGTCTCTTTTCACCGATACTGGTTGGTTACATGCAGGATAGCAAAATCTCGAGGACCCCATCAGAACGCGAAAGAACTGATTGAAGATTTCGCGTTCTAAGGTCTCAAGAAATAGAAGGCTCTTCATTCCAACAGGCTTATGGTGTTGTTCTCTGTTAGTTCTTGTGATGTGGCGTATCTATTTTCCAAGACTGTCTTTGGCCTCGTGAATTTTACTCTCGAAAGGGGTTTAGGGGTTAGGGAATAAGAACCCGAGCTCCTGAACTCTGCCGCTCTTTGAAATGGCATGAACATTACATCATATTTGCACTTCATGGAAAGGATCAGTTCTCGAGTGCCCTTAATCTTTGTGGGTTTGCGTGTATATGCATTAACTTTGAGAAGTTTACAGGGACCTATTTCCACGAGGCGGACGTAACGAAGGACGAAGAGCGACCATCCCCAAAACGGACAGATTACAGACAAAATGGAAGACTATAATCAGTGTTTAATTTAGAACTGCGGGTATTTGGGGCTTTTTTGTGGAGATTTGCATCATGCATTTCCTTCCCCAAGCTCTATTCCAGTACAGATCGTCTTCCATCGTCGAAGTTCGGAGAATCTGTCTTTTGCATCTTTCCTGTTACCATGGCCCCACATTTTAGACCTCTACCAAACTGATTCATGAACATATTATGAGCTAGAAAGGCAATGACTTAGGAGCAATGCATCACCCCCACTGTGCTTCACAATGTCGGCATCCTTGTAGGATCAATTGTCTCAAGTAAATTTTGGGGAAGGAGCCGCCATTAGCCATATACAATTCTTTCGGAAATCATGTTCTGAACCTTATCGAAAACGGATTCCAGAATAGCAAAGCGTTCACCCACTGCAGATTAGATGGGGGATGCTAGTCTAGTCGACAACACAAGTTATTGCTTCCCATTCACTACTGAATATAGGACTATCTCCCTCTCTTTGTTTGGCGCACAATGGCATCTTTGGATCTACGAGCTCTACCAACCTTGCAACTTTGCAGTAAACGACACGAAGATTAGACAACAGAGGTGTAGTACTGTACTTACACTATCGCAACAAGTGAACAAAAAATGATGAAAACGAAGGATTAAAGTGAATAAATTTGGGATATCAAACGTTGAGAACGATTCCAAGAAGACATATGCCTCCGGGTGAACCGTTAACTACTCATGAGCACCATTGAGTGCTTAGTATCCGTCTCATCAACCCAATTGTATGTTTTAACAGGCTTGTGTTTTTCGATTGAAATTAGATCTATGGAAACCTGTGAAATCTTGCGTTGTAAACAAAGAGCCCTGCCTGCAAATTCATGTATAGTTATTTTTATTTCCTTGACGACAAGAATAATAGATGATGAATTTAACAAGTTGGTAGATTGAACAAATAGCGTATGGAACGTGCCTCCTTTCAGATCATTGTCAAAAGGAGTTCTTTTGCGAATCTGTTGTTTGACTCCAGCGAACTCCACTTACATTGTTCCAGCGAACTGCTTATGTTATGCCAATGTGAGTTGAGTTGAAATTGCTATCATATCCAACATATGACAATCCTTAAGCCTACAACGGCGACATCACCGAAATTCCACCAGATACTGTCATGATGTGAAATGGATGTTAAATAAAGATTTTATTTTATTTTAATTTATAGCCAACATGCATGGATGCCACCAATTAATGCATATCTTCTAAATAACGAACTTTTCGCAAGGTGTATATTCTCTTCCCATGCCACCCGTTTTAATTTCAAAGTTCAATTCACTTTTTCACCCACTAAACCCAGTATATCCCAAGTGAAGTGATAAATATACTATTAAAGCTTGCATCCGTTATCTTTAACACTTACCATGTTTTCAAACCTGACCTATAAATTAATAAGCACTTGACCGCAAATGCTACATCAGTGTACAGAATTGATAAATCGAGATTACACAAATCGCTGCGTATATCGAAGTCGGAACTTACTACATAGTTGTGCCTACGAACTGGGGAAGAGATTAGCGGAGTAACTGCGTAAGAAAAGACCGTCGTAAGAACCGTCGTTGACCAGAGGACTTACATAGCGCAGTGCGAAATTTGACTGGGAAAAGGAAAGGAACGAAAGAAAAGGGCGGGAAATGGGAGGAGCCTAAGGGACTGGAGTTTTGTTTCGTTGCCGCGGCAGAGGCTGAAGTGCATCTCGCAGAGAGAATTCGAGATCGAGCGACGATCGGGAGAAGATGGACGCTTACACGTCGAATCCAGCCCTACTGGCCAATTCGGAGTTGTTCAGGCGCTACATGGGCAGAAGAGTGAGGACAGTTGTGAAGGTGGGCAGATTCGAGGGCGGGAATCTGTACGCCCAAGCTCCCGACGGACCCCAGATTTCGATTCGGCAAGTCGTCAAGAACGAAGAGTTTACGCAGTTTGTTGAAGTCATTGGAGTGGTGGAAGGAGAGAATACCCTGCGTTCAGAAGTTTGCACCAATTTTGGAGATAAATTCGGTATGTTCTCTCTTCTCTCAACAATCAGTCGATCAATTTTCAATTTTGCAATGTCGTGAACCATTTTTCTTGAATGAATGGGACCACTCAATAATCAGCGCTCGTGAAAACTCTTCATGGTAGCCTTTGAAACCAACCCAATACCACGTTTTCACAGTCGGTTTCTCGGGCTTTAAGATTCGGGAGCGCAGTATTACAAAATCAGTCGATTCCTGCCTTTTATTCCATTTATGAGAAGAAATCAGTTCTGTAAATGTTACCTTATAGCGATCAGATAGTCGGACTAAAATTGCTCTAGATGGTGAAGATCAATGTATTGAAAAGTACAGGGAGTCAAGGAGCGTTGAAGAAGTGATGGTTAATCCTGTGTGTCTAGGGTTGCTCTTTGGTTCATGGCGATGCTTCTCACGTGATTTATGTTGGCGCATCGCTGTGGTCTTTGTCTCAGTCTTTCACATAAATTTGACCGTTTGTTTCTTTCGGACTCTTTTTCTCCTGCAGATTTAGGGCAGTTCAACACGTTGTGTCAAATGGCAAATGGAGCTTATCAAGATATATTCATGTAGCATTTGGCGGACTCCCAGCGGGCCCTGTATATACTGTAGGACGAGTCTAACCTAGACGTTTAACCTTGAAGTAGTGCTCCGCATCTGAGTGCACATGAAGCACTGTCGTTCTGGAGTCCCGTAGTGTGAGATGTGTTGTAATTAGAACCAAATGTAAGAACTGGGACACATGGCCAATGGAACTTGAAGTTCTCGCAAAGATGGTCTTGTTAAGAGGTTGCCCCTCTTCAATTTGGATATAGAGATAACTCGGAATGGCAAAACCTTTTCTTTCCGGTCGGAGAGGGATCCATGTCTGTGGGGCCCCTCATTGCCAGTATAATGTATCTAAGTTGGAACTTCATAACGTTTGAAGTTCAAGTGGCTGGCATCAGCTTACCTCGAACGCTTTACTGTCTCGCCGTTGCCCATCCCGTGAGAAGCTGATACACCAAGTAAAACTTCATCTTCAATGAGCAATGCAAAGTTCCTATGTTACAACTGTCACATGAGATTGTGAGTGAACGTTGCAAGCAACACTTGGAAGTGTGAGGGTTGGATATGCCGTGCTTTGCAACGGAATTGTCGACATTGTATGAACTGTGATACCTGCATTATACAATGTGTCGAGAATACTGACGTAAAGCATGAACTGATGAGCATTCCAGCACAAACTTCAACTTATAATTCTTTGGTGCATTCTACACGGCCGTCGGTTGATGTGTCTCGCTATTTCACAGCATCCCCATTTCTTGCTGTATGAGGGGAAACTAATGTACTCTACCCGCTTACTTCATCCCCGTCCTATTAGAATAAGGTGTAGGGTTTAAACATTGATCCCCATCGTTATTCACCGTCCTTCCGCTTTCGGCCAACAGTCTCCAAGAAAGAGAGTCTACATTTGTAATGTCTTTCATTCATCCACTGGAAAGGACATCTGTGCACACAGGAAAAAATGACATCCAACTTTTAGGAACGTTGAATGATATATTTGCGTTCATAACGTACAATGTGCAACGGAGTTGGGCTCTCTTTCTCCCTATGGATGCAGTGATATGTGCAGAGTCAATGGAGCTGATACGACACATTGGTAAAATTTTAGATAATTTGTACAATGTACAAACGGCTTCAAAACGTGAGACCATATTTCGGCACAACTACTGAACTGGAATACCGGGAGCCAAAAGAATCTGTGAAAATTGCTCCTGCGCCTTCTTTCCTCAAGTTTCCCACCTTTCTGATCTAAATTATGATCATGACCTTGCACGGGCGGATTCAGATTGTACTCGGACTTGACCTGACAGTGGAAGTCCAAGTGGAGCATATCAGGCCCTGCCCTGCCCTGACCTCGGCCTGTTTCTCTGGCCCGAATTTACACAGAGGAGTGAAAGCTTATCAAAGTGAAAAGGTCAACTGCAAATTGCCAACTTGCGACGTGCAAGTTGGTCTCTAATAACTCAGGATGCTCAAACCCTAACAACATGGATTAGGCCATACATTCAATGGTCTGTGAAGCACAACTACTGGCAGCCCTCGAGACGCAAGTCAGCAAGGTTCAGCTTGCTTCACGAGACTTGACACGCATGTCCTCGAGGAGACTTTCTCCGACCAGGTCTTTGAAGCACTAGAGGACATGCGGAGACAAAGACCTGGTCGGAGAAAGTCTCCTCTTCTGCTCTCCTATTTTCAGTCACTTATGCGTAATTTGCAGATCCGAATGCTCGACCCACCCGAAACCCACTGTTCTAGCCCTTCTGTCGAATAAACAAGTTCAGCTAGATGAACAGGTTCTCTTCATGAAGCTCACTGAATTGCCCTTGTGAACCAAGAAATCTCAATCTAGATGATTAGACATCAATAGTACAACTAATTCCTTTGGAGGTGACAGCAGACAGCAGTTCACCTTTCTGACAATGGGTGGTTCAGTCAAGAGTGTAGCCCAATCTCAATCAATCTGGCACCAGTGCACTTTGCGATCTGCCTCCTATCTCTAGACGAGTGAGAAACAGTCCTCTGCAGAAAGTTCCTTCCAGGGAAGGAGCTCAAGGGCACAGGTATTGATATGGAGAGCCATGTGAGGCTCACATCTGATGCCACAGCGATGGATCCATTTTTGACAGAAGTGAAGTTAACTCGAATGGTACAGAACAGCCCTATGTGCTGATTTACCGACCACTGAAATTACTAAACCAATCGAGCAATGTACTTGCGGCAGAACTTGCGATGCATTCGAGATTCGTCATGAGACTGTCGAGCGCCTACGCAAGGGCCAGGAGTACTGGCAGAAGATGCAATGTATGATGCCATGTATTCACTGGCCGGGGCCTCATACCCTAGAGAGATGCAGTTGTAGCGTAAATTCATAGTATTCCATCCACGAGAACGTGATGCTCTTCTTCAAGAGTGAAACTCCTGTTTAATCACGACGATGAATTCTTCTGACATGGTGAGATTTCGAGCGAGAGCGACGGGACTTCCAAGGAAACAGAAGCAGCCGAGCAAGCTGGACACGATGGACAAGGACCAACCTCGATAATATCAAAGCTGGATAGACAATATGGGATGATGGTCCGTGTCGAAGACGTAGGGAGAAGCGATGGGCTCCCAGGTCATCAAGGCATTTTTCCGCCGAAAGTTCTTGCTCTTGAGCAGAATAATGCCATAGTCTTCCTCCGCACATCGGCCGACGACTGCCACGAGCTCCCGCCCGACGTAAGCCGCAGCTCTGACGCTACAATCCTTAGCCCCATTGCGCAGCTGCGTCTCCCACGAAATGGGCTGCACGAACGTCCACGAGTTGTAAGCGACGTCGTACACATGCACCGAGTCCGGCCTCAGGACGAACATCTTCCCGTGCACCACGACGAACGCATCGTCCTTCTCGCGCTTGGTGATGTTCTCCACGGTCCGCCACTTGTTCTTCCGGGGATCGTACACTTCGGCAAAAGTAGGGTTGAAGCAATGCTCGAAGAGCTCGTCGCCGCCCGACTTCTGGAAATTGATCTCGTCCTCGGCCTCGAGCCAGACCGCGCCCCCGATGACCAACAGCCGGCCCTCAAGATTCAGCACCGTGTGATTCGTCCGCGAGTGCATCATGTCAGCGATGGACCGCCAAGTGTTCTTCTCGGGATCGAAGACCTCGGCGTCTCGCGAGTAGTCGATCTGCGGCCGACAGCCGCCCCCGAAGACGTAAATCCGCCCATTGTTCACGGCGCAGCAGAATTGCGACCGCGGGCACTCCATGCTGGCGCACCGCTCCCACACCCCACGCCCTGCGGCCAGATCGATCATGTGCGCCTCCCGCGTCGAGTAGACGCGGTCGAAGTCGTCGCCCCCGAGAATGTACAGCTTCCCGTCCAAGAAAGCGCATCCGCAGAATTTCGGGACGCCGCTGGTGATTCCCGGGATGGAGGGCAGCTTGATCCACGAGCCATCGTCGGGGTCGTAGAGCGAGACGGCGAAGCGCCAGTGCGCGGGGACGGGGTTTTTCGGGCCGACGCCGCCGCGCCCGGTGGCGCTCGAATCGCTAGCGCCTGAGCCCGAGCGGTCTCGAGGCGCGGCGGCCGACGGATTGTTGTGGATGAGGACGACCAGCGTGCGCGAGGATTTGGTGCAAGTGCGCGCGTCGTACACTCGCCGGCTCTGAATCGCGTGGCGCCATGCTCGGTTCACGGCGCACAGAGTGCAGAGAGTCTTCCAGGGCGCTCGCGTGAGAATGCCCTCGATCGTAATCCGGTCGGGGATTCCCGGAAGAAGGTACTGTTGCTCACTCATCATCGTCGTCTCCTCTAGCCATCCGCTGCACCCTCCTCGTCCCGCATATGCTCCTCCCTCTACTCTACTCGACTCTGCATCGGTGCACGGTCTTTCCAAATCTCCTTCGTCCGCCTCTCGATCATCCGCCACGACTCGAGTGACCTCGGCAGCTCCAGCTCACATTGGTCCGGGCCGGCAAAGACCATTCATCGAGCGACGACGGAGGAATGTTCGAGCGACAACGCGCCTGCCAACGATTCGGCCACTAGCTAGCTAGCCCCACTAGCACCCGCAGCCACCGGCGGTGACAATTGTGTAAAAAGCAAATGCGAGCAAGCAGAGACAGAAGGCTTGAGACAACACTGCAGGACGAAGAAACAAATTCCAATCCCGATCACGCCACGACAGAGGAGAGTTGAATGGAGCGCAGTGGTGCAAACTAGGCCCGCTGCGGTGCTCGGCCTCAGTGGACGCTGGCAAGGGAGTGCTGTGAAGAGTCTCTTCGCTCCGAGAGGGAGAGAGTGAAAGTCTGACCGCTGGCGGATACCACCAGAGCGGGGATCGGGATGAGTCTCGGGGGGTTTGAGCTCATCCATCCATCAGCTATTTCAGTTCTGTTCAGTTCTGTTCAGTTCAGTCAGTTGGGTCCGGTCTGGTTGAGCTCGTGCTGCGGGGGCTCTGGCTCAGGCTCAGGTCAACTGGTGAGAGAGAGAGAGAGAGAGAGCTCCAGAGGCAGCGCCGATTGGGAAAAGGGCATCGACGCCGCCTGCTGGAAGGTTGGAAGGACCGAAGGAAGGAAGTGAGGAAGGCGAAGAAAACAAAAGGAATGCTGTCAGTGGAGAGTGAGGACGAAGCGAGGGAAGGAGGGTAGTGGGTGGGGCGCCAAGGCTTTGGCTTTTCGAGAGCGATTGTCTGTAGGGCAGGGCAGGCTGGCAGGCTGGCAGGCTTCTGCGGCCCTTCACATGCTCTCGTTGAATTTCAGCGTTCGCTTTCGGATTAGGCTTTCATTAGCAATGCGCCTTTTTGTCCTCACTCTCACTCGACTCCGGCCGAAACAGGTGCCTGCATGGAGAGAGAGAGGGGTCCCTGGCAACGTTTTCCTGTCTGCGAGAGGTGGATAAGTGTTCCTCCCGCGGGGAAAAGGGAGAAAGAAGGCCGCCGTGAATATTCCGCGGGCACTCCGGGCCCCTCGTTTTTCTGTGCAATTATCCGCATCCCGAGGCGATTCGGCCTTCACGGTGCCATCGTTTGTTTTGTGCGGGCAACAGGAGCGCACGCTTCCTCATCATTCTTCCCACCCTTTCTCGTTGTGAAAAAGTCGCCCGGTGGACGAAATCAAAAGCAATGCCCTGTTCTGCTTCATCAAGCTCTCTGGCCTTGCATTCATTTTTCCCCTGTACCGCATGCTAGCACCCCTCTCGTCTTCTCTGGCTCGGAAGTTTGCCCACTCGTGTGCCAGCGTTGCAGAGAGTGGGGGGACTAAATCTTCCGCGCCAAAAGATGAAGCGGCCACCTGGCTTTTCGAAACATTTATGCAGAACAACTTTCTTCGGTAACATTGGTAAGGCTTTTCATGATGAGTCGCAGATGACAAGAATTCTGGGATAATAAGTAATTTTGAGTTGAGATGGTAAATGGAGGAGGGAGATGCACGGAGTAAAGAAGCAATGGGAACCATCATCTCAATTGCAGCAACAATCCAACACGAGATCCCAAAGAAATGGAAAGATTTCTTCTCTATGGAGATATATTTTTATCTCACCAAGTAAAATTCTTATATCAGTGCATGAAGCTTTTTAATAGGAGTAGTATTGAGAGTTTCAAAAAAAGTGGTAGTGAGGCAATTTTTCCTCTCAATTTCATGGTCTAGAGCATGCGGTATGAGGCTGTGAATATGTGTGTCATCTAGAGCACAATATACCAAATGAAGGCCATGGAAGTGCTCCCGATATGTAGAATGGTTGCGTCGTGCACTTTTAACAAACGAATTCATATTCCATCCAAGAACTTTGTTCGTATCCAAAGTTCGTTTTTAGACATATCATTGAGATAAATCTTTGTACTCTCAGATTGTAAACATGGGTAGCAATCAAACCTGGCAGTATGATGATGGCGATCACAACATGGTTTCACATAGTATTAATGACCACGACAATAACTTGTTTCTTCGGATATAAAGAGATCAATGCAACATAAAGAAGTGGATATAAGTGAGTATTATTGCTTTCACCATACCCATGTTCACACTATATTCTATAATACCTGAAATGATATCATATGTCCGTATGCCTGACCAGCCTTCTTGGTATATTATTTGGTCGTCCCTTTAGTCTAAGAGTTGCTTTTCGTAAACTGAACACAACACTAACAGAGATCTAGATGGTAATAAACATGAGAACATCAAGAGTCCAAGTCAGTTTTTGAACTATATTTATATTATTTCATTCATCTTTAAAAAAACAAGAATTTTTTTTTGTAAATTGTTCGATATGCAAAATGTTGAGGAAACATATGCAAGCTATAGATGTTGAGAGTAAGTGAAACTATGATATGACATGAAAAGTAGAGAATTTTTTATATATATAATGGTGTTCCATTCACAATTAACATCATGATGCTCTTGTGCCAAAAGATGATAAGAAAGCTGATGTATAGTCATGTTGAAAGAGTTTATTGTTGGATTAATGTCTAGCTAAGCTGTATCTCATACAATTCCTCGTAGTAGAAGATGAATTGCGTGATAGTGTATATCAAACATATGTATATGTATATAATTTTTTGATTGTGAAAGATGACATGACTTAAGGTGTGATGCATCCAAATGTACATCAAATCTCAATGCAATCTATATTAGACCTCACATTAAGATTATTGGTTGACTAACATATAATTTAAGAAAATATTGTGCTCTTTTAGATGACCTACAACCACTTAGAATGTGATTGATGTAGTATATCATGACCAAATAACTGAAAGAATGTTATGATTATTGTCATTGGAATATAGTCAACTATCTTCTGTCATTGCTATGTTTTTCAAAGTATGTGCGCGAGATCAAACGAATCTTGTAAGGTCAGCATGAGTCATAACTAACCGTAGTTTGTGTCCTTGAGATTTATTCTCTACGGATTGATCGTCAAGTTGTTGTCTACCACGTTATATGATCAATATATAAATTCTGAAACAAAATGTTTCCAAGCTTTTTTTATAATGTACAAGGATGTACATCGCCACATTTCTCATAGAGTTTTAAATTAAATCAATAAGCTCCTGCACTCATAAGCTTAATGCAACAACTGGTATGTGCGGAAAGAGTCGGCGTAGAGTGAAAAGGTTTTACAAAACCGATATTTTGAGGAGACTGAAGATAATTTCTTTTGAAGTAAGAATCACTTATAAACATGAATCTCTTTATTGGAATGAAACCTCAAAAATATTAAAGAAAGGATAGATGGGCATTAAATATTACTTACTCTCTTTATGTAAAAATAATCCGGTGACCAATTAATACGGTTTACCTTGAAATTTTTGACGAACTTTTTTTCCTTTCGTCCAACACCAAAACAGACCAAGAGGAGTTTGCTCTTTATTTCACTGACGATGATAAGATAAAATAATTTGAAAAACAAGAAATTGATAAATACAAAACCTAGGTAAAATTGTAGGTTTCATATTTGAACAGAAGAATTAAAAATCCAATACAAATATAAGTTTTCTGCAAATTATTGAAAACATAGTATGACCTTTATGATAAACTGCATTATGATTGTTTTTTGGACTTCTTACTTTACTTGTGCATTTTGTGTTTTTTCTTAACGTTATTTCTCTCCCGTCAAAACAGCAAACATGCATTTCATGCATGCCTCATGATGTTAAGCAAAACAAGCATAACTCAAGGAGTTGGCCAAAGTTCAGATAAGGTTTTTCGTCTCCATATTTGGCCACTGAATGGGAGGAGAAATTCTTTAGGAAAGTCCAAATTTGTCGGGAATTTGGACTTGGAGCGGAAATTCTTTTCGCTGGATGAATGGAGGCGCTGTGATGCAAGATCTTGGATGGATATGAATGTATAAGAAAATATAGAAACGCATTCGTCCCATCACAAAGTGCTGTCATCTAGTGAGAATATTGGAGCTGCTCTATTTGCTTTTTAATCTCTCGATGTCTGAACCTAAGCGACCTAATTGCTAAATCATAATACCCCTAGGCCGCATATCTGCACAAGAAATAAATCCGCCATCCGAGTTATGTTGCCATAACCTGGCGGAGTATATCAAATTAGCATGTCTCGCGGACGGGACTGACGGATTCTCTCATGGACCACTGGTCCCTTCCTACGGGCCGTCGATTGTACTTTGGACTCCGTCAGAGTCCGTCCCCGTGGCGCGCTGAATCCAGGAACGTGTCTTACCTGCGCTCGCTTCTGTGCCGTTGTACTTCACGGGATCTAGAACACTAGAATCCTCGAATGAGTATGAGCATCAACCTTTTGATGTACGGTGTGAGGGCCATACATTCCTCAGGAGAAATTGGGTGCAGTGGATATTTGCGGTACAGTGTTGTGTAGTGGGCTGATCAATGCGTGGGGATTATGTAAGGACCCAGGTGCTCAGAGTATTTGAGTGTGACACTTGCTTGACTTTAGGGTTGGCTCTACATACCCTCACCCAGAGTGTAATACTGTAGTAGGCTGTAACCAAATTTGTCCCAAGATCAATAACTAGAGTGATATACTTTATTTGGTAGAATATATATATATATATATATATATATATAACACTTAGTGTTGTTGGATTGTGTACATAAATTTATCTAAGGTATTTATTTATCACCTATAGTGGTTTAAGAAATGCCAATTTGGAAAAATGTACATTTGAAATTTGATGATGTTCAACCACTATACATCACCCTACAAAAGTTAATTGTGCAGTGTGACCAGATCATATCGTTCATGGTTGTACATCTGAAACCCATTTAACATTTTTTCGGGTGGTGTTGGGCACACACAGATTTACATATGTTGGACATATTTTTACCTATATATAAATAATTTGTTGTAACCATAACACCATATATGTAAATATAGGCTTAGCATCGATTATTGAAAAGCACTCTTTTATCGGCCGGGCCACGTTTGGTCTTATTCAAAAGATCCTATTCAAAATTAAAATATTTTTTTATTCTAGCTTTGCACCTTTTGTGTTCTGGTGATTTGTTGCAGTCAATCATGGATTTGTAGTCCACGTTTCTTATGTGATGCATACCCCAATTTATAGTGGATTCTCATCCTGTTGTCACCTTTTCGCTTTACACTTGGAGATTTGCATTCATTTATTCCTCCTCTGATAAGACAGAATGCTGGAGGCCCGGTCAGTGGTCACCGAACTGGCCGGTAAAGACGAGCCAGCCGCCTTGTGAAGTCTAGAACAGCAGCTGCGGCTCAAGTCGTTAGACTTTCCATGCAAAGCAGTAACGATACAGACGTACATGATGAATCTTGTACGTACGTCTGCGCGTTCCTGGAAGAGTACGTACGTTCGAGAGCATGCGCTGCGTGATGCCGAGGTGGCAGCGTCGGCGCTCTTTCAGACGCGGAGGCAAGAAAATCATGAAATTGTTGGCCCGTTGCATTCAGATTCAGATCTGTTGCACTCGAGCGCCGCAGCAGCAGCTGCTCGAGCTCGAGCAAGAGCAACGAGGGGCTCGATTGGAAGAACGAGCCGGACACGGATGCCGGACGGCAGTTTGAGAGAAGAAGAAGAAGAAGGGAGGAAAGAAGGGAGGAAGAGAGATTGAGGACGTTCTTGGTTTCTTCGGAAGTCCAATTTCGAACTGGGGGCCGAATTTCCTCGAGCAGCGGCAGGTATTTCTCATTGCTTCTCCGGCTGCAGTAAGTGATTCTTGTTGTTTTTCCGTATCTGAAGAGCAACTATTTCCACGTGACGCGACGGTCTCCGGTCGCTGATTGGGAATATATTCATCGGGGGCTTTCTCGCCGCGGATGGAGGATTGATACTTTTCGTTTAATTACTCAAGGTGTCGTTTTGTGCGCTTTCTTGCGACTCAGTCGCAGATGGCACTTGAGGCGATCATTCATCGGGTTGAATGTATCTTTTCGGTCTTTGGGGTTTATCGTAACTCACTTTCCGTGCAAATTCGTAGAGGCGGTTATGCTGCTTCGTATCATCTCCTCCCTGCACTTGCTCTTGGAGGTTTTACTTCGAAAGCTTTATCCATAGCTCCACCGAGAGTCTTCGACTGATGAATATACCTCTTCATCCATCGAATTTTGAGTACAAGACTCACTCCCAGTGCTGTGTACTGAAGCTTGAGAATTGGTCACCTCTGCGTAACATTTGACCACTGGATGAAGTTGCGTATCACGTACTTTCCATCAATATGTCGTTGTCTGTCACGGTTGGGTAAATTGGTATGATCCCCTTCGTGCTGTATTGTCTATCTCTGCTCGTACGTATGCTCCTGCTTTGTCCAATCTGAAGTTGAGGCGAGTTAGTCTTCTTAGCTATGGAGATCAGAGAGACGAGAGTACGAGTGGACGGTTCTCCCCGTGACAGATTGTATCCACAAATACCAGAATAAATTTTGTAAACTCCTTGGCAGTTTCCACCAGTCCTTACCATTTAAATTTGCTATAGAATCGTCCTCTTCATGGCTACAAACATAACATCGCTAGGTTTATAAATGAAACGATACTTCTTCCCCTCATGCTTGTTACCTCTCATATGTGAATGACTGATGGTTGTGAAATTTGGTCAGATTAGAGAGGTTTTGGTAAATTCCATACACATTCTGGAGACATCCAGATGCCGAGACGGGCGAAAATGAACGCAAGCAAGCCCGAGTTGCGCCTGCCAGATCCAGCATTTCCCTGGCGCATGGGCGACGTCGTAGAGATGAAGTCTCATGACGTCGGTTACAGAGGTGCTTGGTTTCGAGTCGAGGTAACAGTGATACTTGAAATGAGCATAAGTTCTAGCCTACCCGCTTTTAAGAACAGTTCCCGTGTCTTGAGCCGGCGATCAGCCGTACTCTCTGACCTTGTTGGCCTGTATATTCAGATTATAAAGGTTCGCCGAAGCAGACATGGCAAACTCTTTTGTACAGTGATCTACAAAGATTTTCCTGACGAGAGTAAGGACTCTGCCTTCACAAGAATCAGCTCGTGCAATGTCGTTCTGTCAAATGTACTTAAAACTTCACTGGCTGATTGAATCGTTTGTGTGGCGTCCCGACAAAGCAATGTTCGAGTGGGCCGGGCTGCAGACTCAAACATGTGTTCAGTTGTAGTAAAAGAAGAGCAGTCATCTTCAGGACTATGGAGCGCAGTTGCCAGAATCAACGAAGGGAATTAGGGGTTCTGTCCTGGGAATAGGCCTGCCACGAGGAGAGGTTCGGTTTTAGGACGAATGTTCAAATTACTTAAGATTCCTCATGGGCTTCGATGGGCTTCAAGGTGAGGAGGAGATCGTCGCGATTGACGTCGATCCTGTGACGAAAGAAAGCACGCACATGATTCGGCCGGTACCGCCTCCAGCAATGAAGGAATCTGCATATGACAAATCCGAAGAGCCGAGTACCATGCATGCTGTTGTCAGAGATTGGTGGGAGATAGGAGATCTTGTTGACTGGTGGTATCATGATTGCTGGTGGTTGGCGGAAGTGGTCAGTGTGCTGGGAGAAGACCGTTTCCAGGTATTTCGGTGATTCTGTTTGGACTCTTGTCATGCCGAAGATTCAACGAATCTTAAATCCGAAAACTATCATCATATTGACAGCATTCTGTACCACCACTTCTGGACTCATCTAAAGTTCTGTCTCATCGTTCTCAATTCTAAGCATAGAAATCCCTCTTGAATGTTGCTGCCGAAGACTACTGAATTTGGCCTAGATTAGTCGTCTAATGGGGTTTTTCTGAATATAGCTCAAATGTCCTTCTCCCCCGGATGGAGAGGGCGGCTTGTATTTGGCAAGAGAATGCGACATGCGGGCGTCGTTAAACTGGTCACTCGAAGAGCAGTGGACAGTCCCACCATCAAAAGTAGGTCTTTGGTTTGCACCTCAAAACTGAATGAGTTGTTCCAGACAATGTCTCTGCAAAGTCTATGAACCTTCGGAAACCCGTAACGTATTTTCTCAAGGCTTTCTGCTCTCAATCTGCTCACTTTACAGGAGCCCGAAATGAAACAATGCGCAAGATTGGTGGGTCCAGTTTCACGCCTTGATATTGATCCCGTTACCATCATTGAACCAGGTGTGCGGCATCTATCCCACCCTCTCTGTAAGCTCCACGGTCTTACCGGTCCCCAAACTCGATCGCAGAATAATCGGAGTTGGAGGACCTTGCGAATATAATGTCGTATAACTTGCAGATTCTTCCCAAGCATTCCAGCTCCAACTTACATCTTTTATTTCTAATTCATGCCATTCATGTCTTGTTATTGTCTTCCTGTTTTCGCCATGAAAGGAATTAGCAACAAAAACGGATTGTGAATGTAAATGTCCTTGTCTTAAAGTCAAGCAGAGGTTGGTCGTTTGAGGTTGGTCTGATGGCTATCAGCTCGTTGTTATGAATGATGATCAGACATGATGATCATCAAAGACCACGGGGAGATGTTGGATATATTTCAGAAGCAAAAGATGAGTAAGAAGCTGCGAAAAGGCCTCGAAAGAAGGAACCGAGAGAGCTCGACTTCGAAACCTAAGCGTAAGTTGAAGCTGAAAGGTAAGAAGCAATCAAAGCGGAGAGCACCTACGTCAGATGCGATTTTTGAAGACCAGTTTCAAGACCAAGAAAATGAAGCTTTCAATAGGCGAAAACATTTGACTGTAAACTCAGATGAGAGTTTGTCGGAGCGAGTTTCAAAAGAGCTTTCAGAGGATTGTGAGCAAGAAACCTGTAGCACCGAGAAAGCACGAACAGTAGGAAGGAATGAAGCGAGTGAGGAGAACCTGGAGGAGCGACTTATGACGGCCGGAGGTGCAGGGCCGTCGGGACATCAGCAGCAAGTATCGGAACTTGAACCAGAGGTCGTCGTAAGTACGCTTCCACATGCATCTCGGGGTCGAGGAAGACCCCGAAAAGACTCAAAACCAGCTCGAAGAGGGCGGCCACGGAAAGATTCTAACCCACTTCCCAGAGGGCGACCTCGAAAAGACTCAAACCCAGCTCCCAGGGGTCGACCCCGGAAAATTGCTAGTAAAGTTCCAAGAGGACGACCGCGAAAGCATCTCATCACAGCGAGGTCGACATCAGAATACCCTCCCCGTCCGGAGGTGACTGTCGACATCACGGAAGAGATCCCAACAGTCTCATCGCAGGTTCCGTCCAGGTCACAGGGGAAGACGAGAGATGATAGCTCACCAGACAACATCAAGGTGGGGATGGAGGAAGTTCCCCTGCACAGAACAAGCTCACTACGCAATATCGAGGTCGAAGAAGTAGATCAAATCGAAATAAACGAAGATGCTTCATGTGGACACATGGAGGTTGAAAGAGCTCTTGCGATAGGAGTGGTCGTTAATGTGGGTTCAGCGAGTTTACACAAACCAAAACTCATCGTCAAGGACGGAAAGAAGAGAAAACGAGGCAAAATGAATGAGATCGAAAATGTCTGTAGCGTGAAACGAAAGGGTGAAGGTTGTAGAGAGCATATGGAAAATGAGAGCCTACTGGAGCAGGAGCAAAGAGGTTTCGAATCAGGGCATGAAGCTTCCGAAGTGAGACTCGATGTTGTAATGGAATTAGAAAGTGGTCCACATGAACATCCCCATAGAAAGGAATCCAGGCTTATGCAAATAGGAGGTCCAGAGCTGCGTTTTGATGTGAATTCTGAGCTTCATGAACCTCGTGTCCAGAAAAGAAAGCTTAAAAAGCATGTTGCGAATCGGGAGGCGGAAGCAGCAGCAGCTGCTGGTGATGACAGGACCTCTGTGCGCGGTATTGAAAAGGAGGCTGAAAGTGAACTATGTGAAAGGTCCAGAAAAAGGCCGTTGAACAAAGAAGGTCAGCAAGGGAACTGTGATGACACTACTGATCATGATAAAGGTCAGGTCTTAAGGGTCAAGAGTGAAAAGCATGTTGCAAAACAGGTACATGATGTTGCTGGTGGTGGAGAGATGACCTCTGTAAATTGTGTGGTTATGGAGTCAGAGCCTCAGCTGCAGGAAAGATCAAAGAAAATCAAAAGGACGTGGAGACAAGTATCTCTACCGTTGGGTTCTGGTGTCAATCCTAATGTGAGTGGTGCTCAGATCCAAAGAAGTAGGTCCGAGAAGTGTGTTGCCACTAGGCGAGAGGAAGTCGTCGGTGGTGAACAAATGATGTCCATACAAAACATTGTCAAAGAGGTAGATAATGAGTTGCATAAACGTTCCAAGAAAATCAAAAGGAGCCCGTTGGGTTTTGATGCCAACTTTGATGTCAGTGATGGGACGGGCCAAAGTATCAAGCTTGAGAAAAGTTATGCAATTCGGGAGGAAGATGTCCCTGCTAGTGAAGATGGGAATCCTCGTCTCAGTAGGGAACAGGTTCTCAAAAACAAGTCGAGGAAACTTATTGTAAACTGGGAGGAAGAACCACTTGGTAGTGAAAGAAGGGGGACATATGTACAAGAGCAAGCAACGGTGAGAGGAGTATGTTCTCACGAGGTTGAGGAAGAGATTGATTATCTGCACAACAAGTCCTCGGAACTCAAGACTAACAAACAGAAGTTGGAAATGGATGAGAATGATCAAGGACGAAGGGAGCAGCAGGAGGCAGCAGGTTCAAGGCTAACGACCTTGGAGCCGACGAGGAAGATCAAAATGCAAAAGAAAATGTCCAGAGTAGAAGTAGAACCATGTCAAGATGTAGAGATTGGTAGCAAAGGAATATCTGCAAGTCCGGGAGTTCTTTCACCTCGAAAGGACCTCAAAGGGCCTATCCCTATCTCCAGCAGGCGTGGCATAAGCAACGATCGGAAGGATGGTTTGCCACACGAAGATGAACTCGTCCTCAAAATGAGACCCAAGTCTATCCTACATGCATTCTCGGGCGGGAGTTTATATATGTCAACGAATACCTCGAGTGATGCGCTCCTGGAGTGGGATGTTGAAGCCTCCAGTAAACCAACCACTTCAGATGAGCCTGCCATCTCCATATGTGGGTCTCTTGGTAGCCTATCAGATGAAATGTGTTTGAGTTCACGAGTTCATAGAATAGACGGTTTGACGGATGAAATTGGTTGTGCGCTTGGCCTCTTGGAGGCCGATGACGACTCTTGCTCAGTAAAGTTCGGTTCTTCGAGGAGCAGGCTTTCACGAGAATGCGGCCCGGATGAATATCATAGAAAAGGCCTTCTGGTGAATCCGAGTCAAGCTGAGAGACTGAAGGACTATTCTTTTTTGAAAAACATAGTCAACAAACCTGTGATAAAGTATAAAACCGTTTTGTGTCGGAAATTGGTGAGAAACGCCAGGAAAGAAATTTGGTCCAAAGGTAAAACAGCCAGCAAGTATGTAACATCTTGATCATCCTATATTTCTAGATGAGTTGTGCCTATATCGGACCCTGGAGCTGTGTCTTGTGTACTCGAACAGTGGAAGAAGAAAGTTTCGAACGACCAGATTCTCTTCAGAGACTGTTCCTTCATCGTATCATATTTTGCAAACCTGTCAGTTGGTAAGGTCCTATAATGCTGAATGCTACAGCTCTATTCACAATTTGTGTGTATGCTGACAAGTCAAAAACTAGTCTTGCAGTTATTGATTTGTCAGCAATTGCAAGATTATCTGCAAATTTGCAACATTTTTCATGAGTTAAAAAGAAGAATTTTTCATACCGACAACGCCGGCAACTATATCAAAAAATTTGCAAAACAAGACGACAATCATCTTGCACGCCTTTAACATGCTGGAGGTCATCATCTTATCCACGGATGTCTTATCTTTCAAGGAGGCAATGAAGGTCGACAACGAGGTCTATTGTCATCTCATGATTGTGATCATAAAGAAATACAAGCCTGATGCTACCAACATAGATGACAAAGTCAACTTCGCCTCCAACATCTAGTAGAACAAGGAGTATTTAAAGTTATTGAAAATGGTCATCAAGGAGTTCGACTACAAGGGCAAGATTGTCATTGTCATGGACAAATGGCGCTTGAGTTTTACTTTGTCGACTACAAAAGCTACGATCTCATATTACCCATACTCTTGTAGCTCAACATCATTTGTGACAACATTTTTGATTCAACACATATGGATGGTTGATTATAGTTGTTTGAGAATTTTTTATTGTACCGCTTATACTCTCATACATATATATATCTGAATAGATTATGATCGAATTAGATACTACATCCAAGAAATGTTGTTTACTTGCATATGCTAGCGATGTGAAATGATGTGGGCAGTCAACCTCCTAGAAAAAGCAATGTACATAGACTACTCATTAAGATCATATTAGAATACTCCCCTAAAAAAAAAGCAAACCCCATGGACGAATATTCTACATTGTAGTCCGCTACGAGTTTTGCCTCGGCCTTTGGTAGATCAAAAGGAGCTCGATTAGTTTCTGCTAAACAAGAAATAATAAACATAAGAAACACATGAAACAAGGGAACAACAAACCATATCCTTGTTTGCGCTAGGACAATCTCGCTAAAATTGCAAGAACCTGCGCATAGTATGATAGACTATGTGATCCAGTAGCTTGTAAATTTATTGTCAATACAGAAATTTCATTTAATGAACATGAATCATTGAAATAGTAATAGAGTCTCAAGCTCTCTTTACTAGCAAGGAAGAACCTTCACTTAAAGATGTTGTTGAGAGGAATATTGATCATATGCACCAAACGATAAAGATCAACGAGAATGTATTACTATAACATCATCAAATCAAATTAGTATAACTTTCGCAAGGTATAAACTATAGGTTGATTTATTTATTTTTAAGATCATAATATTGATATGTAGGATGGATATCACATTGCATTGATCTTGAAAGAAGTAAAATATTATTCTTATAAAGAAACTCAAGTTTGTATCAATCATCTTGAATGAAATGTTACTATGGAGCGTGAAATGCATTCGTTGATAGATAACAAGACATTGGAGCTAGTGAAACTATCAAAAATTCAAGCTTTGATTAATTGCAAGTGGATGTACAAACAAAAAAACAATCCAACAAATGACGAGAATAGATTTTCAAAGTGAGATTGATGATTAAAGATTTCACACAACAGAATGTTATGATTTATAACAAAAAATTTTCACTTATTGCAAAGTATGTTGATATTTGTCTGCTATGTGTATTTGCTGTGATATTTAGTTTTGTTATGTATCATATGAATGTAGTTACATCACTTTTCAATGAAAGAACTAGTTAGTTTTGAGAAGAAAGTTCAAGATAAATTAGTTTGAAGATTGCTAAGATTGTTATATGGATTGAAGCAAGCTCCTAGACAGTAAAATGCAAGATTTGATGAGTTTATGAAAGCACCAGATTTTTCCAAAGGGTGTTTACATAAAGAAGATAAATAATGAGATCTTTAATCTTATTATACTAGTACTTTACATAGATAACATGCTCATCTTGTCAATGAATCAATTCGACGTGGATTGATGCAAGAATAAGTTGAAATATGCATTTAACATGAAATATTTGGATAAGTTTAAGAAGATATTATGAATTTTGATGAAGCAGATTTTATGTTTAAATCAAGTCAAATATATTTAAAATAAAAAATTTAAAATATATTTTGAAAGGCTTAACATGGCAAATTTGTAAGGATTATATATTCCTTTGATCACACATTTTACACTTGTTGCAGTTCAATATCAACCAATGTTATTAAGAAGCAAAAGATGTCATGTGTTCTTTATGATAAAGTTGTGGCAGCCTCATTTATTTGATGGTGTGGACAATACGTGATATTGCTTTAGCAATATACAAAGGAAGCAAATATATGTCAAATCCAGTAAATGCGCGTTGAACACTGGTGAAATAAATTTTCAGATAGCTAAAGATTACTGTTTAGTGTCTAATGAATTATTATATAAATTCACAACTTGTTGGTTTATGTTCATGCTCATTATGGGGATTAGAGTAAATCTAAAATTGATTATGTGTTTACATTTAGTGATATATGCATTTAGTTGTAGATCTATCTTGCAAAAATGTTTAGCTCTATCTACAATAAAAGATAAGTATGTAGCGACATAAAGTATCAATTTATTAGAGATTCAATTTTTGATAGAAGTATTGAGTTAGTTATATTGATCGTAAATCCAATCCACTTGATGTTTTGATCAAAGTTATTTACTTAAAATTTTATGAAATATTGTGCTACTATGCAAATTTTGCATGAATATCACAAGTAGAGTTTACTAACAATATTCATTAGCAATTACCTACCTCTATATATTTGTACTCTATTATGATTTGTCTACGACTTGGCTCTAGTTTATGAGTAGATTTTGTTAGATTTTCTTCTAGTACTTACCCAGAAGAATAATCATATAAGTTAAGGAAGTTAGTGTCATTTGATATCTGATAAGCAGGAGAAATATAGGTGTAATTCTTGTCGATGACATGTGGTCAAGGGAAAATTATTTGTGTAATCCTTTTCGGTGACAACGATCGACAGATGATGCATTTTTGATGTTGGTGCATTCAAGGAATCCGTGATTACTTCACACTTTAAGGCACAAAACAAGATATCATCGCCTCAAACAATTTCAAATTGTTTCCGTGTTTAACTACATGAGTGTTTATTTCTTGTGATTATCTAATTTTCTTGAGTTTCTTCCAACATTAAACTCTTACAATTTTGATGATTGTTTTCTTTCTATCATATTTGGGATAATACAAATACGATAGATAGATAAATAGATCAATATATATATATATATACACACACACACACATACACATTGCATTTTAAGGTGTCATCATTATGATGATGAGCTAAGTGATTTCACTATTATTCATTGAAAAAAATTTGGTTTATTTGTGTAATCCATTGCATTAAAAGAATGTCATCGTCTGTTCTCATCAAGCTCGTGTGATGAGTTCCACAACAAGTTGAAATGTAATCCTCATTCACAAATCATCAAATGACCAAGTTCTTGTTTCTTCTTCAACACACAAAAAATAATGTAAGTACTTGAGGCGATGCAAAAATGGACAAGATTATGAGTAAACACTGGAACTTTTTCCAATCGGATGTAGAATAGATATTGATATAACTTAAGAACATCAAATTCTTATGATTTCTTGAATTAGCCAAAATCAAGATGAACGCAGGATGTAGGTACATGGTACAGAGTTAAACCTCGAAATAGTGTCACCTCTTATTAGTGACATACTTCCAGTATTGACATAGAACTCAAGAACCATTAGGTTTAACTCGTAAATCTATCAAATAAGAACGCTACTATCTCTATTAGCAATAGTGACATGATATAGAATTTAACAATCCAATGGTGACACAAACTGGTCTTAGGTTTTCACCTCACTATGAACAAATGTCACTCGGATTAGGTAGTATAGCATTTAGTGCATCATATAGAAGCATTCTTATTGCATGTTTCGCAGATTTGCTAAATAATTAGAGGATCATTTGACGGATAGTATCATTTTTAACCACTTGTCTTTGTCGTGCGACTCGGTATCGCCATACATCATACATTGCTGACATGCTCTACTCACAACTCACACATACATACACAAGGAACGAGAGTGTCCACACACAAAGGTATCACAACTAAAATAAATGTCGAAACACAAATACACAGAGAGTCGAGCCAAACTCATTCCCAAAAGAGACATAGAGTCGAAGCTAGCGGGACTGACATATCCCTACGCGAAAGGCTCAACTCGAAGAACGGACAGTTTTTTGAGTTCGCCACGAATATAAACCTGGAAAGTCGACCTAGCCTACGCTCCGCGTCTCAACGTTAGCCGACTCCCAACGTTAGCCGACTCACACTCGAATCCAACATGTCTGAACTCAAATCGACACCAACGTCGATCTGCAACTGCACTAACCTGCATACACATGACAGCTGTCGTGCGACTCGGTATCGCCATACATCATACATCGCTGACATGCTCTACTCACAACTCACACATACATACACAAGGAACGAGAGTGTCCACACACAAAGGTATCACAACTTGCCCCCCTAGCTGGCGGTCAGGTCCCTCTGACTCCCAGGTAGCCCTATCTACAACTACATGCTATGCACCTTTGTGGGTGCGCGAACCAGTAGGCCGGGTGCTATGTCGCCCCATCGTTAGTCGCCTATCTGCAATTCATGACATGTGAAGATCAAGTCATCTACCCTTTGATGTACATCGAGGACAAACCCACCGTCCAGTAGGAACATCGATAGGTGGAGTCAAGCACAACATGTGCCATCCCCTATAACATCTATCACACACCAACATATAGGCCGCCTGATCAGCTGACCCACATAACATGCACCTCAAGCCGGCACGTACAATCGCCAAGCTTGGATCTATAATACCATCAACGTTTGGGAGGTGGCATGGCGTAGAGTTGCGCACATGATCCTTCCAAACGACACCATCACGACCCTCCAACATGAGAACTCCAGAAGGTAACACCTCTCGCACTCGCAAAATAGTGCGTCCTGCCGTCACATCCAAAGTAGTCGGTGCAGTCTGCTATAAATAGACGTAGTCTCCCACACAGAACCTACGAATCGATGGTCGATAACCTCCTCCTCGAATAGTTGCATACCGCAATGTATCCCTGTGCTGAACAATCGCAAGGTTCTCGAACGCTGCAGGCATAACTCTCTGAAAGAGCACTGCACGTTGAGAACACACTCTCACCCACATATCTAGATCATCAAGGTTCACCACCTCGCTAGACTCACGACGAATCGCTGCAGGCAAGTCTGGATCTCGGCCGTACAATAGAAAATATGGTGAAAACAAAGCCAAGGATGCTTGACGACTGAATCGATATCCCATGGCCAACCATGGTAACTGAATATCCCAGTCCCCAAGATGCCCCTTCTGTAGGCCATACTTGCGCAACGCTCTCTTCACCGTCTGTATCATCCGCTCAGCCAAACCATCCGCCTCTGGATGATCTCGGGAAGTAGTCCGGTGATCAATCAGCGTCTTGTCACACAAGACCTGAAACTATGTCCCATGATCGGTCAACACCTCAACTGGTGCACCAAAGTGACTAAGCACCCTGTCAAGGAAAGCATATGCTACTCCCTCACTCGCCTTGTCATGTAATGCCACCAACTCATTCCACTTGGAGAAATGCTCCACCATCACCAACACATACCGATGATGTCGTGCAGTCAAAGGTAGTGGTCGAGCAAAGTCCAAACTCCAACGGTAACCCAATCCCATGATAGGTAAGGGATGTAACTCTGGTGTCGGGGCATTGAACGATGCCCTCACTCGATCACAAACCATGCAACATGATACCAACTGCTGTACCTGCGTATGCATACCACGCCACCAATATTGACCTAGGAGTAAACTGTTCATACGCTTCACTCCAAAATGTCCCAATCCTCATGAGCATGCCTCACAATGCGTGCTCTCTGAGCTGGATGCGGTACTACTCGTACCCTACCATCCTCCCACACTCGGAGAACATGTGATACCTCCAATCGGTATCTCTTCGCTCGCTGGAGAA